CCTCAGCACCACATAAGCAAAAAGAAAAAGAGCCGGAAGTGGTGCTGTGGCTCAAGTGGTAGAGCACTAGCCTTGAGCTGAAGAGCTGAGGGATAGCACCCAGGCCCAGAGTTCAGTCCCCACAACTGGACCACCCCCCCCAAAAAAAAAACCCAAACAAGAACAAAATGCGAAATAACAAAACCCTCTTATTTCCATTTCTTGGAGTTCATTTCAATAAACGTATTTTATATGATCATATGCAAATAGCTATTGAGCCTTTTTCTGAAGAATATCCTCCTTTGGTCTTACAGTGTGCATGTCTAGAGTCCTGTATAATTTATCATGTTCAAGTATAATTCTTTGTCTTTTACCATCCAGTACGTTTACTTGTATATTTATAGGTACATTCTAGTTACAGCAAATGAGGGAGACCATGTAGCCTATGTTTCTTTGAGTCTGGTTTACTTAATATTTTTCAAGTCTTTCCATTTCCATATGAATGGTAAAATAGCATTCTTTCTGATGGAAGCATAGAATTCTACTGTGTATACATACCACATTTTCTTGATCCATTTGTCTACTGAGGAGCATCTGGGTTGAGTCCATATCTTGGCTATGGTCAACAATGCTGCTGCAATGACCATGGATGTGCTGGTTGCTTTAATGTGGTCATGTTTGTGGTCTATTGGATAAGTGTCCAGGAGTGGGATTGCTGGGTCATAGGGCATCTCTATGTTTAGTCTTTTCAGGAACCTACATACTGCTTTCCAGAGTGGTTGAACAAGTTTACATTCCCACCAACAGTGTAGTAGGCTCCCTTTTGGCCACATCCCCTCCAGCATCTGTTGTTATTAGAGTTCTTGGTTATAGCCATTCTAACTGGAGTGAGGTGGAATCTTCATGTTGTCTTGATTTGCATTTCTTTTATGTCCAGAGATGTTGAACATTTCTTCATGTGTCTATTGGCCATTGTTACTTCTTCTTCGGAGAAGTCTCATTTCAAGTCTTTAATGCATTTATTAATTGTGTTGTTTCTTTGATGGTTTTTTTTTTGAGGGGGTGCTAATTTTTCAGCTCTAAGTATATTTTAGATATGAGGCCCTTGTCTGATGCATAGCTAGTAAAAATCTCTTCTCATTCTATGGGCTTTCTATTAATTTTGCTAGCTATGTCCTTTGCCCTGCAGAAACTCTTCTGTTCAATGTGATCTCATTGAGCCAGTCTTTCTTTGATTTGGTTTGATTTGGATCTTTACTTAGGAAGTTTTGACCCGTGCCTAGGAGCCCTAATGTTATTCTCCTCTACCCCTTCCTCTAATATTTTCATGGTATCTGGCCTTACATTGAAGTCTGATCCATTTAGAATTGATTCTGGTACAGGGTGATATATAAGGATCTAGCTTTAGTTTTTAATTTTTTTGACTGTCCTTTTTTTATTGTGAAAATACTGGAAAGAGGGGTTACAATTACATGGGCAAGGTAATGAGTACATTTCTTATCAAGCATTGTTAAGTGACGTAAGCCAGGCCCAAAGAAACATAGGTCCCATGGTTTCTGTTATCTGCAATAACTAGTATACATCTGAGACAAGCAGAAATGGTCAGATAAGCTGATGTTAAATGAAATGAACCCTAAGTTAAGGACTCAAATATTTTTTCTTTCTTGCTATTGTGTCTAACATATTTATAAAATATTTCTTTGTTGTTTTGTATGTCCCTCCCCCACAGTATAACCCCTGTTTATAACCCCTGTTTTCACTGTATTTTACAGTGTTATAATTTGTGAAGGGGTAGTTTTTAATTATTTTTATGAGAATTTTTAATGATCCTTTCCTCAAAATTTCAATGTGCAGGCTAAGTTCTGAAGTACTTGACTATTTTTGACAGTACTAGGCTCTCTCTCTCTCTCTCTCTCTCTCTCTCTCTCTCTCTCTCTCTCTCTCTCTCTCTCTCTCTCTCTCTCTCTCTCTTTCTCTCTTTTGTTGGTCCCAGGGCTTGAGCTCAAGGCCTGAATCTATCCCTGAGATCTTTTTGCTCAAGTCTAGCATTCTACCATTGTGGAGCCACAACTCCACTTCCAGCTTTTTGCTGGTTAATTGGAGATAAGAATCTCATGATGTTCTCTGCCCAGGCTATCTTCTTTTTTTTTTGGGTCTGGTAGTGGGGCCTGAACTCTGGGCCTGGGCGCTGTCCCTCAGCTCTTCAGCTCAAGGCTAGTGCTCTACCACTTGAGCCACAGCGCCACCTCCGGCTTTTTTCTTTTTGCTTATGTGGTGCTGAGGAATCAAACCCAGGGCCTCAGGCATGCAAGGCAAGCGCTCTACCACTGAGCCATCTTCCCAGCCCCCAGGCTATCTTCTAAGCACAATTCTTAGATCTTAGCTTCTTGAGTAGCTAGGATTACAAGCATGAGCCACCAAAGCCCAGCAGTTCTAGGGTCTTAACTGTTTGTTAGACAGTTCCCAACCATTTAAAGTCAAGTCCTTCAACCATTTTTGCTTTAGTTATTTTTTGAATAGGATATTGTGCTTTTTGCCTAGTCTGACTTGGACTGTGATCCTCCTATTTATGTGTCCCACCTGTCTGTGGTGATAGGCACATACTATTATGCCAGGCAGTTTTTTTTTGTTGTTGTTGAGGTGGGGTCTTTTTTACCTGGGCTGGTCATGAACTCTGATCCTCCTGATCTCTGTCTGTTAAGTAGCAGGAATTACAGTTGGGAGCCAGTATGCCTGACTCTTGACAATGATTTTTAAAGGACTTTTGCTCTCCTTTCATTTCATGTTTTTATCATGCCCCAATCCCAAGTTAAGGTTTCTCTCCTTTGAATGTTTTACTAAAGTTGAGAAGAAATAGCTGTGACGATCCCCCCCGCTTCCATCTGCTGTTTGTTCTTATTTACATACGATGGAACCCAGCCCACTGATTTCCAACTCTGGTTTTCTTACAACTGTTATTGAGCTGAAAACAGAGCTGAAAACTTATTAAACAGAAAGAAATTATTTTTAGCGTTGCGTCGACAATTCCTTATATAACAAAGGAAACATTTAGACTCATTTCCTGTGTAGGGAATGGTAAAAATTGGTTTGTAGCTTATAATTTCAAATTTCAGTTTAATTTTGGGCTTAGACCCCAGTATTCTGATTTGAGTGTCCCACTAAGGAATCTAGAACATTTCTGCTGAATGGAACTCCTTTCCCTCCTGCCTTTAATTTCTTTGTACTAAGATGTGAACTCATCCTCTTCTGCTCGCTAGGAAAGTAATCTACCACTTGAACTCCACCTGTGACTTTTTTGCTTTGTTTTCTGGATACAGTCTCTTGATTTTGCCTAATCTCCCTGCCGCCGCTGCTGCTGCCTCCTCCTCCTCTTTTTGTGCTGGTCCTAGGGTTTGAACTCAGGACTTAGGCACTGTCTTCAATCTTTTTGTTCAAAGCTGGCACTCTGCCACTTTAGATACATTTTAGGTTATTAATTGGAAATAAGAGTCTCACAGACTTTCCTACTTTGACTGGCTTTGTACTGCAGTTCTCAGATGTCAGCCTTCTGAATAGCTAGGATTACAAGTGTGAGCCACCAGCACAGTCCATTCCTACTTCTTCTGTAGCTGAGACTGCATGTGCATACTTGTTTTTGAGATAAAATCTTGCTAACCAACCTACCCCTAAACAGGAACTAAAATCTAGCTTGGAACTAAAATCTTCCTGTCTCTACTCATGTACGATTACAGACATACACCACCACACCTGGAGCATGAATGGTGTTTTTTTTTTTTTTTTGCTACCACAAGAGTTTGAATTCAGGGTCTAATAGTTACTCAGCTTGCTTGTTTAGCTGGTGATTTACCACTTGAACCACTTCTCCAGACTTGCTTTTTGCTTGTTATTTTGGAGATGGAATTTCATAAATATTTCTGTCATTGCTGGTTTTAAACCATGATCCTTTTGATCTCAGCCTCCTAAGTAACTAAGATTATAGAAGTAAGCCAGATTTTCTGGTATGGGGGTACCCATAGACAACAGGATCTCCTCACTCATCTCTGTGTGGCCTCTAAAATTTAGCATTGATGTCTCTTTTCTTCTAGTCTTCTCCATTGTCCAGCATATGCTGGTGGCAAAGCTAGGGTGCATGTATCTTCAATGCAGATGTGTCCTCCTTCTTTAAATATGTGGAAATAGGTCTTTTATAAGTCATCCTTGCTGGGGCAGCTCCTTTCTGTCCTATTATTCCAGATAATAATAATAATAGCTTTGAAATAATAGCTTTGGTGAACCATGAGAGAGCAGAGAGGAAGGCAGAAAGTTGGTAAAGAATAGCCAAGCATTCTTGATCAAATTGGGAAAGATATGGGGTCTTTCGTGACATAAGTCTGACTCATACCAGTAATATGTTCTTTGGGGTACTGGCCCTCTGCATGTCTCTGTGGTAGCAGTGTCTCTCTTGCTCACAGCCCATGTGTCTCTCAGGTACTTGTTAAACTATAGAAATTGGTTGCTAACTTGATAGGGATGAACCAATATGGTAGCTACAGATAGGTAAGTCATTTGTTAGTCATAACCACTGGTGAATTCCTTTCTTTTCATATAATTCTTTCAAACATGGTCTACCAAATTGTTCTCATGGAAATAAACATATTGCTGGAGTTGAGCCACAAAGGATTCCTTATACCACGGTCAGCCTTGAGCTAGCTCTTTTTTTTGTCGGTTGTGGGGCTTGAACTCTGGGCCTGGGCACTGTCCCTGAGCTCTTCAGCTCAAGGCAAACACTGTACCACTTGAGCCACAGTGCCACTTCCGGTTTTCTGGTGGCTAATTGGAGATAAGAGTCTCATGGGGAATTTCCTGCCTGGGCTGGCTTTGAACTGCAATCCTCAGATCTCAGCCTCCTGGGTAGCTAGGATTCAGGTGTGAGCCACCAGTGTCCAGCTTTGAACTAGTTCTTATACAAGCTGAGTTTGGTCCCGAAAACCTTGTTTATTGTCTTTGGTTTTGATGCTCCTTCTTTGCATATTTTCTTGCAGATGGAAGAATTGATTGAGGGTGTTCGCTGGGCCTTTATTGACATGCTGGAGAAAGAAAACGAGTGGATGGATTCAGTAACAAAAAGGAAAGCCAAAGAAAAGGTAATGATTCCTTTCAATGAAAAAATATACACATTTTTTGCTTTAAATAGATTTCCATGTTTAGCATTGTATGTGAGTTGATTTTCATATGAAAATGAGCTGTTGGCGCTAAATGACTCTAGAATTAGGAATATGCTATTGGATTTCATCACCAGGAGGTAAGAGAAAATAAGATCTGACTTTCTTTCCCTAACTGCATTCTCCAGTGCTGTGTAATTCGGCCTTTCCCTCTCTCCTAATTGCTGTCTGTAAGAGCCACATGGCTTGCTGCCTAGTGAATTTTGTCATAAACCATCATTGGATATGGCAGAATGCAGAGCAGTGGGGAGCCATGGGGAGCAGCTGGCAGAAGAGCCCTCAAGATGCAAAGAAGAAGCAAAACCCACATTGGCCATGTGTCCTCTTTTGTGCATGATGTGTGCAAATGTCCGGAGGCAAATCATTTCCTATAACCAAGCAGATCTTCTTTCTAACCTATTGTTTTGCATAAATGACCCAAAGAATATGCTTGCAAACTGCAGGCCAGGCAGACTCTTCAATGTATACAAAAAATAAGCCAGGTGCTGGTGGCTCATGCCTGTAATCCTTGATACTCAGGAGGTTGAGATCTGAGGATCGTGATTCAAAGCCAGCCTGGGAAGGAAAGTCTGTGAGCCTCTTATCTCCAAGAAACCACCAGAAAACCAGAAGTGGTGCTGTGGCTCAAGTGGTAGAGCACTAGCCTAGAGGGGAAAAGCCAAGCAAGTGTGCAAGTCCCTGAGTTCAAGTCCCAATACTAGCATACAACATACACCTCAAGATAAATAGTGCTGTCCATCTTGAATTGTAAATACTTGTAGATATTCTGAGGAAGTTGGTGCTCATGTAGGTAGAGTGCACTTGCTATACTTGTCGTGCATGCCACTCTGCAGCTAGGAGACTGAAATCAGGAGTGTTTTTTGTTTTTTTTTTGAGATGTTTTGGAAACCTTCCTGATATTAGTGATCTCCTGTGGCACCAGGATATGCTATTATTTTCTGCATCCCTTGCCTACAATGTCTTCTTTAGTAGATCAAAGTTTCAGTGCGAGCATTTGTGATAAAGGCAGCCTTCTCCATCATTGTCATCATGAGTCAGCTCATACACAATTATTTCTACTTTATAGTCAAGAAACAAACAGAACAACACGTGGGGAATACTTGCTTTTGGTGAGTGGGAACATGTGGAAGTTTAGGAACATATTCCTAGAGCTTTCCTATTCTTGAGATGGATGAACCTTGCCATAAGTATTTTTGTCAATAAGCATGAAATGGCTGTTCAGTGTTTATAGTGAAGAAGGAAGTTGGAAGGAGGGTTATTAGAGGAAAACAAAGGGCAACTTTGATCCCCCTTCAAGATTTGTGGAAGCTGCCTTAAGCCATGTGAAAGAAGCACAGGCTGATGAAGGCAAGAACACATGGGCAGAGATGGGAAGCTCTCCAGATGGTCGTTGAAATTTTCAGCACCAACATATTGTAGGTTTTTTTTTTGACAGCTTCATTTATTTGATGAACTAGCTTGTGGTATGTAGGACAGAATGTGTTTGCTATGTGTGTGTGTATGTGGGGGGGCTTGAACTCAGGGCCTGGGCAGTGTCCCTGAGCTTTTGGGGTTAAGGCTACTATTCTACCACTTAGGCCATAGCTTCACTTCTGGATTTTTGGTAGTTATTGGAAATAAGAATCTCACAGGCTTTCCTGCCCAGGCTGGCTCTGAACCTTGATCCTCAGATCTTAGCTTCCTTAGTAGTCAGGATTATAGTTGTGAAGCACTAGTGCTTGGCTTGGAATTGGGCAGTTGAGCCTTTAGCATATTAAGAATTCTTTGTCCTAGTCGGACTCCTTATAGATTGAGGATGTGGGAGGTGCATGTATGAATTAGTACAAGGTCACTGTTGGGGTGGTGAGAGGGTGTATGCATGGATACAAGAGGAATGGTCTGGAAGTTGTAGTCAGTTCTTTGAGATGTATGGGTTGAGATTGCCTAAGTGAGATCTTCTGAGTTGTACAAGGATGTTTGGGCTTTCTGGGCAAGTTGTCTGTGAGTCTTCCTGGAAGGATGACTCTCAGTCCTAGTATTAGATGTGTTCCTGTTTGCCCTTTGAGTTGCTCTCCAGCCTTCTGTTTTGTTTCAATGAGAGCTTTCCATTTTTCTCTTAAAAGTATTCTTTGAACTCTGCTTAGTTCAATCTGCCAGGAGCTCTGCTAGTTCAATGAGGAGAAATATTAAAGGTAATTCTCCTACTGGATCTCACTAGGCTCCCCAAGTATCTTGTCTTTTACAGTTCAGACAGTTTCTTTAATAAAAAGTAAACAAGAGGGATGTGGTCCTAAAATTTCCCACAATTTTCTGAAGCAAGTTTAGCCCTGGATCCTAGAAAATGTAGTTTTTTTTGTGGTTTTGTTTTGTTTTGTTTTTTCCTGCCTCAACTTGAATGAGTTTGCACTTCTCCAAATGACCTCTAGGTGGCGCTCACAGTACTCACAAAGAGCAGTGAAGCTGAAGGCTTTTCTGCTACTTGCTTTCTACCTTGGGGCTGTTTTTGAAAAATTATTTTATTCCCTTGCCCTTTTTTCTTTGCTGTCCTCAATTTGATTGCCTTTTTAATAGTCAACAAAAAAGGAAAGGCTTTGCCTAATAATTCCTTGAAACTTAGATAGAAATCTTTGACTATCTCAGGGCTTTTTCTTTCTGATATGGAATAGACTCTTACATTAACAAAAGGTTTGCTTGCATTTGAAGTGGAGGTGACTACTTGGCCTTCTCTTCCTGGTATGACTTGGCACTGTTCTTTGGGCATGTGTTGTATGCAGTATATTACCCAGGCGGAAGATTTCTCATCAATAATAGTGTCCATACTGGGCCAATGCTGAGTCACTTGGCAACTCCATTGGGGAAGCTGAAAAAAATGCTTTGATTTGTGAGGGGCTGGAACTTTTCTTTTCCTCACCATGAAGCTTCGAATTGCCAGCTAATTAAGGTAACCTTCTACGAGATGCTGATCTCAGCCTTGTGCAATGGCTAACCTCCTGAACTGAGTGGTCCAGATATTCAGAGATACACTATGGTCTGAGGCCTTCCACCTCTTGGCCTTGTGACCCCTGTGGGGATGTAATTATGTTGTGTTCTTTGCTAGGGGTTGATCAGTCCAAAAGATAGATGCGGATGTCTCTGCGTCTGTGAAGGGTGAATTTGTTATCTCTGTCTCCCTGTTCTTTTCTCCCCTCCCCATGTTCTTCTCTTAAGAGGTCATGGGTGCTTTTATGTTGTGAAACCCACTGTGTAGATTTCAAGTGGAAATTTCAGATTGTGAAATAAGCACCGATTTTTTTATTTTTTTTTTTTGTTTCGGATTCTGTGTTTCCTGTAAGCATGTGCTTTTATTGTAAACAAGCAGGAAAGGACAAGGGGCTTGTTATTTTTCTTATATTTTTTTAAAGAGACATCCACTGAGCATCCAGTGATAGAGGAAGGATTTGTGTGTGTGTGTGTGTGTGGAGGGGAGTGTCATCTGAAAGATTCATCCATTCCAGAGCAGAGAAGAAGATTCTCAAGGTCACTGAGTAATGATTGTTGAGGTTAGACAGGACAGGGACTCCGGTCACCTTTGGCCACCCCAGCCGGCTGGGAGTCAGGTTGAGAAGAGCAGCTTTCTGAACTAGGAATTTAATTATGTAGCCCAAAGCCAAATCCCTCCTGAAAGGCTTATTTGTGCTCTTAGCCCCTGAGATCTATGCTGGCCAGCCACGCCCAGGAAAAATACTCAGCTAGAACTCTCAGGCAAAGCCTTCCCAAAGCTGCTGCTCGGGAGGGAATGGCCTTTGTCATAGCAGATGCCAGAGAAGTCTTCAGAATGTTCCCAACTCCACAGGCCTGCAACTCCCACGCAAGGCTTTGCAGGAGGTGGGATGAGTTCTCCTGCAGAGAGCAAAACACCAGTGCACCTTGCTTCTGCCTCTGTCTCTTAAGTTATGCCAATCCTTGCATTTCCTCCAGGCCCCAGAGTCTCTCTGTACTCACCAAACTGTGCCCTGTCATCATCAGCTGATTCGGATGGTTTCCCAAGTGTAGCTCCAGTGGCAATCTATAACACCTAGGTACTTTGTATTCTATTTTATTCTTTGTGGGCCAGGCTTGAACTCAGGACCTGGGCACTGGCCTCCCTGCTAGTACTCTACCACTTGAGCCACAGCTCCACTTCTGGCTTTTTGGGGGAAGATAATTGGAGCTAAGAGTCTCACGGCCTTACAGACTTCCATTCCTGAGAGGTTAATAATGAAGTCAGAGGAGTCAGTAGTTGAAAGTACTTGGCTAGAAGAATGCTGGAGATTGAGAGAGGCTTCTAGCAATGTGTCAGTGGAAGCAGCTTTGGCTGGACGGGTGGGTGGGACAAGACCATTGAGGTTCTGTTTGTACAGGTAGTTCTGTGGACTTTCCTGGGGGTTATTGCGTATTAGGTAACCCAAGGCCATGATCATTTCCCACGTTCAGCCTCGCTTTCACCCCTGTGATCCCCTCTTCAAAGGAGTGCCCGAGTAAGCAGCTGCTGCTGAGAGGTGGCGATGGAGAGGTAATTCTCTTACTTTGTGGATTTTAGATTTTTCTGCTTTTGGGCAAATCCACTGTTATCTTTGTGCCTTTATTAAGCATAAAAGCAAATGTCTGGGATAAGTAGGAATCGGACACATATCTTTATCGAAGGCTTGTTCCTCTTGATCGTTTATAGGAGTGAATTTAATGGAGTTTGCATGTTTCAGAGCTCATGGACACATTGTGTTGTTTTTTCCTTTGGGGGGGAATACACCAGATTATTCATTCTTATCTTTGAGGGTGAGTCAGTACCATTAGCAGGATGATGAGACAGCCATTGTAGCCCATCCTGAGTGTCTGGGTCTGTGTGGAGCCTGGGAAGTAGCATTTGTGACAAGTCTTTGGGTGATTTCTGATGCCTATGGACTGCTGGCTGATTGCACGTGACAATG